CCCAGAACTGGACATGGCACTCAACATGTACCTGAAAGTGTCAGGATCATTTCCATCCGCCTGCTGGCAATACTCTTCCTAATGCAGGACAGGATGCCATTGGCACTCTAGCCACAAGGACGGATTATTGGCTCATGGGCAGATCAGTACCCACCAGGACCCCCAGGGCATTTCCTCCTAAACTGCTTGACCTTTGAATATGTAAATTGAAGTAGGTTAATAGCTCTTGTGATTATACCTTTGATGTAAGTACAGTCATTGCAGTTAAGTTTTATGTTATTTGTAAAACTTCAGAACAAGAGCTGGTTTGTTTCTATTTTGCTTTTCCATTGTGAGGTATTGGCTTCAATAGGAGCTCAGGCTACAGAGCACATCAAAAGATCAACCCTCTTACTGTATAAACTTTGGTTTATAAATTTGAAACTAATAATTTTTTTCCCCTCACATTTTGTCATAATAGCATCTGAGGTAGATTTCATAATAAATAAGGCTTTATGCCAGCAAAACATTAATAGAGCTCATACTGTAAAAATAAGATTAGACGGGTGAATTTAGGCTTGCTTCCAATAAATTATTTGAATACTGGACTGATGCCTTGGCCAGTTTTTAAAGAATGATTTTGTAGTTTCTTTTGGCATCATAGCATAAAGCTACTTTGAGGGAAACTTGGTCTTTTTAATTTCTTAGAGATGTTCAGTAATGTGGTCACAGATTGACCCCAGATGCATTTAGTCTGTGATTTTCCTGAGGTACAAAATACCCAAGGTGTGTGTCTGTGTTTGTGCACTCCCTCATGTGTATTTACTCACATGTGTATGTATTTTAAGGGATTTAATGTGGCTTTACTTACTAAGCATAAAACTAATATACGTTGCAATCATAATGAGCCCACCAAGTTTTTATGTCCCTCAATGGTTATATTTATTTATTGAAAGTGGAGTTCTAGAGCATATTTTTAAAAATTATGAAATTAACCCTCAGAGTGCTTACCTTTCTGATTTTACTTGGGTAGGGTTGTTTTGAAAACCAGCAGACGAGTCTAATTTTTTAATATTCCCAGTTTTCCTTTTTATTTGTTCAAAAACTGTTCTTAAATAGTAAGACTGGGGGAAGGAAAAGCAAATATAATAGACATTTTTTGATAAGAATAGAGATTCTTTAGTAAACATTCTCACAGTATTGCTAACAGTTCTATTTTGAAAGAAAGGATCCAGCTGATGGAAATTGCGCCATAAAAAATGACTTTAAGTATGTTCATATAGTTCATGTAGTTGCTTAAGAGTAAAATGTACTTCAAGAGCTAAATCTTTGTTTAACTAAATTTTATGTAAAATGTGTGGTGCATTTAAAAGCACATTTTCTCTCAAACTGTGAAATCTATTCAGTGCTTATACCAGATTGTGTGGGAAGTTATTAAATATATACATAATCTTTAGTGTTTTATATAATTATTTATCTCTGCCCATAGAAATCCATCATTTACAATTTGTTTTGAAAGAACCTGAGTAAAGATTTTATAATTTGTCTGTATTTGGACATATATAAATTTGTCCATCATTGGAGTGGCATGGGATTAGCTTTAAAACTCCCAGTGGATTTGTGGGTGGGAGGAGGTACAGTACCATAGCTCTGCTTTATTTTGCACCCACATCAGTGAAACTATTCACATATAAAATCTTCCCCCAGTTAGAGCTTAAGTCCCTGCTATGTCTTCTCCAAGACTTAATGCATGTGTTTGAGTACTACAGAATCCCTAAAGTTTTAATTTACAGCAAGAAAATACTCTGATTAATAAGTAATATTTGGTTTATATTATATTATGGGAATATTTCTGGCTAGTGTTCTCCAGTATTACAAAAATGGGTGCATTTCATGACTTCAATCTTGTTTTCATCTTTCATAAAATTGGAAACAAAAATTATTTGGAATAACAGAAACATAAAATGTGTGAAAACACACCAGTGAGAAATGCTTCCATATTCTGAAAAGTTATTCCAGTTGAGAAGGAATTATTTGTAAAAGAAAGCAGAGTTATTATGCTGTAAACACAAAAAGCACTGTCCTTGTTTCTTGCAGGTTGTAACATGATTACAGCTAACTTAATGTCATATAAAAGCTCTCCTTTACTGTCTTAGATGAAGAACAAATCTTTCTCAAAGGTATTGGCTTACTTTTGAAAGGCACTGGATCATGCAAATACCAGTCTTTAGAAAGGTCCTCACATTTTTCAATAGCAAAGAAGTTAAGCTTTATATGAATGGAAAGAAAAGAGAGCAGGGCAGAACAGAAGAAATGCTGTAGCTTGGTCTTCATAATATTACCACAATATTAGCCTGGTTTTCATAATATTGCCACAAGCATCAGTAAAACATAAAAATCATAAAAAAGGAAGCTTAAGTCAGATTTCCTTTGTAGTAACTTTGTAATACTTATGTTTTTGCAGGAGAAGTCCGCTTGACTCCAGAGGACTTCGCCAGAGCTCAAAAATATTGCAAATATGCTGGCAGTGCATTGCAGTATGAAGATGTGAGCACTGCTGTGCAAAATCTACAGAAGGCCCTCAAGTTACTCATTACAGGGAGAGAATGAAGCTTTAATCCAACAGATTCATGTCTTTCGCCTAAAGAACTAACAGTTTATTACTGTACCTGTTAGGGAAGTGGAGTTACACAGAAATTGTCAATCCCATCACTCATGACTATGAAACCACTGCTTCAGCATCAGATTAGCAATTAATGGTACAGTCTAAATCTCTGTTTTCATTTTACAGACAGTGGAGCTTGAAACATGAATGCAGTGGCTTGATGTATGCAAAATATTGAAGAAAGTACTGTGAACACCACTCAAGAGTTAGAATTCATTTTGCAATATTTGGATTATCAGAACTGGAAAATGCTCACTGTAAAAAACTTGAGAATTAGGATGTTCTGTTAAAATTATTACTCCCGGTTTATTATTGCAAACAATTATTTAATAGGTATAATAGCTTTAAAATGGTAACTAAAATGGATGAGTGCTTTCCTCCTGAAATTAGAGGCTTAATATGAGAAGGTTGACAAGTCCACACTGGGAAGGACTTTTCTATACATAAATTATTTCAGTATTTGTATGATCTGAGACATAAGTCTAAGTTGAGGGAGTCTTGAGGACATTTGTATTTCATTTGAAAATGTGCTGGAAAAAAACATCTCTTGATACATCAGAGAGAGTAATTTTGATGGTGTTCCAATTTAATACCCCACAGGTGTATGGACTACTACATGTATTCTTGATTATGGGTTCTTGCTCCTTCTGAACACTTAGAATTTTATGTATCTGTATGGGTAATTAAGAGAAAATACTAATATTTATCAACAATGATCCCAAAACTGGAGGCAGAGATTCTAAATAATTTGAACTTTCAGGAAGACCTATTAAAAGAACAAAACTGTTCCATCTTTTTAAGAGGCTGGAAAAATGCTTGTTCTTCTGCCACTAAAACACTATAGGTTCATCTCTGGTATTAGTGTCATAGAGCTTTGTATTTCCAACTAATATTTTTCCTGTCTGCTTTGTTGTGAAAACTTTTTGGACTTGAGATTTAATTAAAATATCTTGGAAACTGAATTTTGAGTCTTCATGAGGTCTACCACTGCAGTTATAGAGCTCTTCATTGTTAAAAATCCCCCCATGCTGTTTAAAAGAAAGAATATGCAGTCTTTTAACTGACATGACATAATTGAGTACACCATAAAGCATGTCTGATATATATAATAATTTTAATGGCATTTTATCTGATCTCTCTGTCTTTCCAAGCTGCTGGATCAAGTCCATGTTATTTATAGCTGCACTGCTTTGGAGTGACTAAAACAAGTCTTACATTCAAAGCAAAAAGATGAGGAAAAGAAAACAAAACAAGCATGAATTAAAGTTTAGCTGGTTGTATCCCTTAACGTGTGTAGTGTCTTTGACAGCAGATTTCACATGGATAATATGAAACTTAAACGTATGCTTAAACACTGTAGTTGACTGAGACTTACTAGATAAAATGTGATAATTTTTGTGTTGCTTTCAGATGTGGTATAGCATGCTAATCTGGACAGTCACTTGGGTTAGATTTTAATCGCTTGGGGAAATTTAGAATAAAACTATCTGAAAGTTTTTTGACAGTAATGCTGTACAGACCTAAGCAGTAAGTCTGTATTTTGTACGGTGTTTCATGAAAGATAGATCTCTCACTTCAGTATTAATTACTGCAAAGTCTTCTGCATATATAGTTGTCAGTTTACCCTGTAGCATTGATATAAAGTATATATAGCATTGATATAAAATTGTCAGAAGTTTCTTTCATTTCAGGATCATACTACTATTTTTAAAACCAGCTTCAACCCCCAGAAGTTTAGTTTTCCTATTTCTATTTATAAAATAATAAAAAAGAACTTCGGGGCTTTTGTATTACATGCAAAAATAAATAAGGTATAATGTTGTATTGATTTGAAGCTTTTGAATTAAAGTTGTTGGGGTTTTTTACAATGGAATGATCTGAAATGTAATACATAACTATGCTTGAAAATGAAAATGTAAGTATTTCTTAAAGGGTATAAAATATTTTCTGTTGGTCATTATTATATTGTATCTGTTGGTTCCTCTAGGAAACCAGGGAATCATCAGTAAAAAAGTTATAAACAATGCAAAAGCCATAAGCCCATAAGCAGTTTGTTTGATGATTTGCCCATCTGCTGTCTTCTGCCTAGAAAAAAAATTAAAATAAGTGTTTCTAAGGGGAATGAAGATGAAAACAGTAACACAAAGGTTTAAAAATTTCTTAGATAAGCTAGCAAGACATTCTTTCTGGAAATAAATTAATAAATTTTAGAAGACTTACTATATAAAATTTCATGTAAAATGGAACATATCCTAATACCAACTTTCAGACCACATAACCTATTGCCTTTATTTTTCATCATTTTATGGAAAATAAATTCAATAGGTTATGTGGTCTGACATAACCTATTGAATTTATTTTCCATAAAATAATTTTGCTGTAATAATTTATTTATTAATTGGGAAGTTTTGTAACAGCTCACAAAACCATGTTTTAAACCCCATCTTTAAGGTGATGATTTTTGATGTAACAGGCTGAATATTTCTCCTCTAAACTGATGCCTAAAGTATATTATAGCAAAGCATTTCCATTCCATTAAGTATAGCCTCTGGGACAGCTTCAACTACAGCAGATAGCCCAAAAGTACAAACCAGTGTTGCAGAACAGTTCAAATAGTGTATATATTTGAAAATGTCAGGGGAATATAGGTACATAGGCTATAACTATTCCAAATTGGAATTTGTGGCAGGCACTGAAATTTATGGCCCCATTGTTAAATATTGTGTGAGTTTTTAAGTGTTGACTGGTTCATTTTACAGGCATTCTGAGTGATAAAGTAAAAACACATAGGTTCTCTCAACTGCTTCCCTATACAAAGAAGTACAGCATTAAACAGAGTGCTGATTTTGTTCCATGCTACAGTTAACAACTCTGCTTTTCAGTCTGCCACTTACATATTTGTTGGCCATTCTCCTTTGGATTGTGAGTTCTCAGTGTCCTTAGTGTTTCTTAAGAAAGGAGAAAGGCATCTGTCAGATTTTTATCAGGTATTCCATGTTCAGTTTTGCTGCTTATTCAAGCTAGAATTTTAGTCAGTCTGTTCGGTATCTGTTGCTTAAAAGGCTTTATGTTTTTGCAGTTCTTTGTATTTTCATTTCTCTCCAGGGAAAGTTCCATATTATACTTCAGGATTCCTACAGAAGTCTTTAAAAAATGCTTTGCGGAGGAGGTCATCCTTTATGAAACATGAAGGTTTTTTCAAATGAATTGGATTGACTAATACTGAAAGCAGTGTTCTCAAATTTTTCAAGTAATTTCAGGGGGAATATTTAAGTGTCCTTTGTAAGTAAAGTTTCAGAAGCACAGACTTAAGTATGATCACATTCCAGAATGTGATTGTAACACTTAATATTTGAGACTGTGTAACACTGACCTATGAGAAACTAATAGCAGAGAAACTTCCTGCCTGAAGCAGAACTGGGGGGTAGAGGTGGTTTGTGTTCAGACATCAGTGCATGTGTTATGTAATGCATGTAAATTCAATGGTGAGCCATAGGAATGCCATTCAAAAAAAACTATTATTACCTCCTTTACTAGTGTTGGGACAATGTCAGATACAAATATATATATAGATACTGCTGACAAATGTTGTTCTTAATGTGAGGTTTTAAATGTACTAGCATACATAGGACCAAAAGTTAGCATTTAATTGTGTGGTATTCCAAATGAATGATCTTTGTTTTTCTTCTTTTTCATGTCAACTTCTTTTCATGTCAATTTCTTTTTTCATGGGTAAAATAGGAGCCCAGTACAAAAAGAATGAGAACACAAATTCAGAAGAAGTTAAATTTACAAAAGCTCAAATGTAGTTTCTGTTATTTTAAAGTCTTTGTGCTAATGTTTTGATTGAGATTGGAAAGTGCCCATGCTTATATAAAGTGTAATTCTTGCGTACTTTTACAATATCCTTTGTTGGGTGGTTTATGGAATTAGAGCCTGAGCCAGGATATCTGGGCTAGGAAAACCTAGGCGTTTATGCCAAGTTTCTAAACCACCAAAGCATCCTGGTTCTGACAGCAACTGTTTTTCACAATCACCTCAGTATCTATTTTTAAATGTTGGAATTTTAACCAAGTTTGTTGGGAAAAGGAGCAATACTTTTTTCTTACTGCATCATCACCTTTCAATGCACAGCTGTATTAACAAAACACAAATTTCCATTAGATATTTCACTATCAATCAAGAAAAGAGTATAGTGCTGCCAGCAGAGCTCTCCTTGGCTTACAAGAGTATTGGAATAGTCTGATTATAGACACTGTTGTAATGCCCTAAATGATCTCAGAATAGGAAACTTATTTAAAAAAGCATTGAAAACAAACTTGAAAGAGGGAAGGCATATGCCAGGGGAGAAAAAGAAATTGCATTCTTCACAGAATGAGAGGGGGCACTGAAGTGATTGCAGAAGAAAACAAGAAATACTTAAAATCCCACATGGAATGGGAGCAGGACAGTGACTGTAATGAGGTTATCTGATCTCCTTAGAACCTTGAAAGTGAAGAGAAAAGGTGCTGGATCTAAAGGTAGAAGATTACAGGGGGATAGGAGAGGTGGGAAGGAGCACTAGAATGACAGAGGAAAAAAAACATAACTTTTTTTAAATGCAGACTGGAACAAATATGAGTTACAGCACAGGAGAAAGTTAACCTAGTTGACAAAATGATAGCAGAATCTTAAGCTTAGCTACAAAAGGGAAGCAAAAAAAATACAAGTTGACAGCATTCTGAAAATGGAGAGTAGATCCTCTCATCCTAAGAATCTGTGCTTGTTAAATATGTAATATTTATTAAGTAATTAAAATTGACTTGATGTGCCCTTTTGGAGAACTTGGGAGATTGCATAAGTTAATGCCTAGTATCTGCAGAGAACTAGAGGTCTGTTTGCCTTAAAATGCTATCTTCTGATTTTGTGCTTTCTTCCTGTTTTGATTTGCTTCCCCATTTTCAGTGTCTGTTTAATCTGTGGTGTTCCCATAGCTGGGAGGAGGTTGCTGTCGTTTAATACAATGGTGAGTCTGATTGCTGTAGTTTGATACAATGCTAAATCTGAGTGATAGCCCACATGTTTAGGCATTCTTGGGTAATTTGCGAAGATTATCTGATCTGGGTTTTAGCTGGTATGTGCTGTAAAGAAAGAGGTAGTCATTGTACTTCCCTTCTTCGAAGAGCTTCAGAGTCTCTTTGGCAGCAGTACGACTACAACATCTGAGGAAGGATATATGGAAATTAACTCTACTCAGAGCGATTTCACAAGTCAGAGCCCAACAAACGAATCTAAGTAGTTCATGCAATTATAAACTTTCCTTTGCCTCAAATAGCCCATCTGCAAAATAAGATTATTTAGGTTTAATACTTGTTAATATAGTCAGGATTTTGTAATTCTGACAAGTAACGAGAACAGCCGGGCTGATCGCTATAATAAGTTCCCCAAATAAATAGAATTTCTAGGTGAGGCAGAGAGCTGGTGGTTTTTTGCTTGGTTTGGTTTCGTTGGGTTTTTTTTTTTCCTTATTTCAACCCACTAGTTGTTTTCGATCTTATTTTCTCTCCCCTTCTCTCCTGGAAGGGGAGTGATAGAGTGGCTTGGTGGACACCTAATGTCTTGCCAAGGTCAACCCACTAGAAGAAGAAATGGAAAAAAATTTGATAGGATAATTTAGGAAACCATGGGCAGAAGTTAGAAGATTAGAGATATGGAAACATTACAGTTGTAAATGACAGACAGGAATATATATAGCAGCATCTAATGCAAATCTTAAAATGTTGCATTTATCAGAAGTCCAAAATAACCTCTGTTCTAAACATTAACATGAGAATTGAAAAACAGATTAAAGCTGGTGGAAAGAGATTGCAGTAAATTCTAAATTATTTTCAGAATCTAAATGAGAGAGATCAGTCTAGGGGTACATCCTCTTTCACATACCAGTGACTTAGGTTGAGGTCACCATTTAAGTCAGACATAATTTGCGAATGAGATGAAGTTGGGGAAGTATTGCAAGACCTGCAGAGAACTGGGGAAAATTCTGTGATTTTAACTAAAGGATTAGAATGGAGTGAAACTGAAAACACAAAACACAATGAAATTTTCTTAGGTTCTACAAGACTGTGTTTTTTTAAACAAAAATTAGGATACTGGAAACAGAAACAACGCTGTTCATAATGTGAATTTAGTATGCATTTGATGAGATTGTATCAGTACAAAAAGTACATTGTCACTTGGTGGGTTTGATTCTGATCATTATTGATGAAAGTTATTTACCAGTACAAGATGCAAAGTGGGGCTACTGAGATGGTACAAATCTTGTTAATTGAGAAAAGATTAACCATGGGTACAGAATGGCTTTCTTAAGGTGTTAATGATAAAGCATTTATTTTAAGCCATCTTGATAAACTTGTGGATTGCAAGACTGAAATTATTCTAGAGTTAAACTTTTGATTTGTCAAGGCTTTTGGGAAGGTTTTTCTGGCTTTTGCTAGACCCTGAGTAATGGTCCATCTTCCAAAATACCTGGAGATGTTACTTTTGAAAAAGGTATTGCAGAACTGGAGACATCGTGATGACCTGATTTCTCCCAGTGTTTTGCAGTGGGAAAATATTTTCCCCATAATTTTATCTGTATTAGGACTAATGTTTGCTACAATGGATTGTAAGTATTTTTATGGATAACAGTGGGTAGAATGAAGAGATATTTATAGATTGTATTAATTCAATACCTAATGTGCATTTGCTTGTGACTATGAAAGAATACCCACAGTTGGCATACTTCTCAATACAAACACCTTTCCAATTTGCAGTATGAAAAGCTTTTCAAAGATTGTTATGTATAGCATATTGTTAAGAAATGGCACTGCTCAAGATAGAGTCCATATCTCCTGGTTTCAATTCAGCTTTGTAGGAAGGAGCCCATAATGAAATCTCTGTACGCTGTTGTCAAAAACAACAATATTTCTTTTGTTCTGAAGTTTATCAAGTGTATCTGCACAGTCTTGGGAAAAAAAATACTTCATTCAGTGTCAATACTAATTCTGTGTTTGTAAAAGAGGCATGCAGGTACTCATAACTGCTGCACTTCAGCTCAACAGCTTTTGGCAACAGAAACCACACACATCTGGCCTTCATCCTACACTTACTTGCCTGAGTAACTCTATCCATTGGAATGGTCTTAGTAAGGCAGTAAGAGTGCTCATGTACATAAGTGTTTGCTATGTTCAGAAAGCTTTGCTTGTGTTGAGTAAAATATGAGAACAATAGCAATGGAATTAATGGATCCAGGTGTGATATGCTGACAGCTCTCCAGAGTGGAGGCTCTAATCTCATAATCTTTATACTGACTTTTTTTTTCAGCTATTTTTCTGAAACTCTCTATTAAGGCTTAGATTTAAAGTAGTTTTTCAAAATTGTGGCATCAAGTGGCAGAAGTAGGCAAAAGTACTTTGCAAGGATAGTATGTTTTATCAGTCTGTATCTTGGTAGGTTCCTTCATCATCACTCCAAAGCAAAGGTCCTGCTGACTGGGTCTCATTGGGTGGCTAGCTTCAAAATACTCAGAAAACCAAGAATTTAAACCAAAAGTACAAAAGACTCCAAAAAAGGCTTATTTTGTTCATGTGACCAGACATGAACCATGTCTACTGCTGAACTGAGTGGCTTTGTTTAGTAGGACCTGTCAAAGACTTGGTAACATTTGAAGACTCACTAAATAATTTTTTCTGGAATTTGGCACAAAGCAATTTTCATGCGATTCCTTGGGCTTCTCAGGAGATTACCAGAGCACATGCATTAATGTCTACTCTTTGTGCATCCTAATTCCTGAAGAAACTTTATCACACAGTGAGGAATTCTTAGCATCTGTATAATGAAGTGGTCATTTTAATAAGGATAGCTGCTTGACACTTCTTATAACTAGAGGACTTCCCTGCACTCTAAATAATACTAAATCTGATCTTTTTGTTGAGTGCGATTCACTAAACAGTTGTTTATTTTCTGCGTGTTGTGACTTTGATCTAATGTAATTCTGTGTGCCATTTATCTCCAGTGTTTGACACCTGGTAACCTTAGATATGTTTAAAAATACAAAACAGTTTTTTGTGTGTCTGCTAGAACTCCTTCCACGAGACTCCCATTCCCTTGTAACTTGCTAATACAATCTGTGGCTCATCATATGTCATTACTAAAATGACTACAGCAGATCCTGTTCATGCAGATGCAATGTAAATGACAAACTTAATGTACCTGCAAAATATAAAATGATAGAAAATTTAGGGGGACTTCTCATAGTCATCCTTTTTTCCAGCTATGCTCTGGTAGGGCCCAGTAAAAGGACTTTATATGGAAAGCACATCTCACACAAGAATTTCCACACAGAAGTGTATGGAAGAAAAGAAAAATTAGCCCACATTCTAAAATAAAAATATGTCAAAAATGTAACTGCCTATATCTTTTTTGCTGTAAGTATTTGGGGAGACATGTATGCTTGTTTCAATACTGTGAGATTCTGGTTTTATTCTGTGTGGGAATATGTGCTTCATTTTAAGAGTTTTTTAATGTAATTAATATTTCTGTCTGGCAAGGTCTAGCTGAAACCTAAGTTTTATGTTTTTGAAGTCTCACAGTAGTAGAATATAAGAGAGGCTGGAAGTAGGAGGGGAAACTATACCAACACAATTCACTCATTCTTCAAATAATTTTCATAGTGGATTACACTGTTGATTCATTTGATCGTCCAGAATGAGAGATTTGCACGTGCCTTTATTATTCAGTTTTTTATTCATTACTAAGTTAATGTGCTCAACTAATTACTGGTGTTTTAAGGTAGAGGCAAAGTAAAACATTTAGGAAGTGTTGATGCAGATTGGTTATTTGCTTCATAAACATTCAAACATAGTACATCCATTTCTATCTGGCATTTCTTTAAATGCTACACTTGCCACTAAATGCAGGTTCATAACCTGTGTTATGGCATTCACAAACAAGCCAATGATCACACTGGAATTTGTTGCAAGCATTCAGCTATTAAATGCAGATAAGCACTTCTTCAGTGATTCCTTTTCCCGGCAGCACAGAATTTGATTAGTGTCATTAAACTAGGCAGGGAGAGAAGAAAATTACTTGGTCCAATTCTGAATGAAAAGAAAACTAATAAATTTCAGTGTATGAACATTGGTCTCTGTCTTAGTAATGTCTGATTCTGTCATACCTAATTTAGTGTCTAGGTGCCAAACTTTCTGTATATGGGAGGAGAAATCCAGAGCCATAGGGATCTTTGACTTAAATGATGAAATTAGCACTTCCAAGGGGACAAAATCAGGACTTTCACTAAGTATATGGACTTCTCTGCAGAGATTATGCAAAATGAGCATTTATGTGGAATAAAAATTATTCTTCCTATTCTGTTTACCACTGTCTGACTGCTTTCAATTACTGTTCCATGCATGTAGCCAGCGCGTTTGTTGCCATATGTCATGAACAAGACACAAACAATTTGAAAGCAACCAAATCCCACCCCTACAGTGCAGCAACAGGAATGGCAGGTACTTCAGACTTGTCAGTAGGGGTTCTTTTACTAACATTGTGTTGTAACAATTGTGTGAGTTGGCTGGTGAATAATTTGGTGTATTCTCTTGAGGTGGAGCACATTCATACAAATTTGTGTTGGATTTTGCCTAGCTGCAAGTGTGATTTCTTTGAAGCCCTGTTAACTGCTGCAGGAACGGTGGGTTCATGGAGACTGGACAGATATTCTTTGGTGATATGTGATTTCAGAGCATGTAAAAGAGAAGAGAGGAAAAGGATGGGGGAGTATATTTTGAGGATGCTGGGGAACTTCTATCCAGATTGGCTTAAGTGGAAGCAAAAATTATTAAAACAAAAACATACTCTGAAATATCAGTTCAAAGTTTCAAGACTTAATTTGTTGTGAAAACTTTAGCTATAAAACTGTGATTCCAAATCTTTGATGACAGGTTCAAAGTATAGAAAGAACAAATGTCATCAATGATTGTTATGATT